TTGATGAATCAACATTGGCTTGGATGCTTTCTAAGTCATTCATATCTTTAGTGTATATAGCACATACTTTTTATACAAGTAGTGAAGAACCACCTACTATCATAGAAGCTATGGGAAGGAATGATACTTGGAAGTAGAAAGAAGCAATAGATTCAAAGTACTAGAGTTTCATTGACAACAAGACTTAGATTTTGAAACCATTACCAACAAACAAAAAATCAATTGGTTGCAAATGGATTTTTAAGATCAAATATAATGCAGATGGATTGATAGAGTACTACAAGGCAAGATTCATTGTAAAAATTTGTACACAAAAAAAGGTATTAATTACAATGAGACTTTTACTCTAGTGTCAAAAATTACCTCAATTTATATATTTTATGTATTATCTACAATCAAAGATTTGAAAGTTCATCAAATTCATGTTAAAACAACATTTTAAAATAAAAATATTAAAGAAGAGATATATATGGACCAACCAAAAGGCTATATATTAGAGGATGAAGAATAATTGATGTGTAAACTGTCTAAAATACTTTATGGGCTCAAAGAATCTCTTAGGGCATGGTATAAGAAGATAGATGATTATTTTGCTTGACATAGTTTGAAAAAAAGTCATGCCAATCCTAACATTTATGTATTGTAGATAACTAATAGATTCTATATTATCATTGCATTCTATATAGGCATTCTATATAGATGACTTGATGCTTATATCCAATAACAATAAACTTCTCTTGAAATCAAAGAAAAACTTAGTTAAGAGGTTTAAGATGAAGGACTTAGACAAAATCCACTATATTTTGGATATGCATATTATGAAAAAAAAAAAAGTTTTATAAAATTTTGTCTTATTCACTAAAAATATATAAAAAATGACTTTGAAAGGTTTGGCATGAAAGATTGTAAATCTTGGGCTATACCTTTAGATTCTAACAACAAATTATTAAAAAACATGAGTCCACAAATTCTTGAAGAGATTGAAGGAATAAAAAGAATTGCATACCAAAATACAATTACCAATTTAATTTACTCAATGATAGGAACTGGGGCCAATATTTTTTATCTAGTGGGAGTTGTTAGCTAATACATAGAAAATCCTAGTCCACAACATTGAATAGAGGTAAAATATATTTTGCAATATCTTCAAGATAAATGAGATTATGTATTACAATTTGGAGGAATTTCTTTGAATTTACAAGTGATTGATTACTATGATGCAGATTATGCAGGAGATATTGATATACAATGTTCAATCACTAAATATACATTCTTGTTGGCTAATAGTACAATTAATTGGAATAGCAAGAAGCAACTAACAGTTGCATTATCTACCACCAAAATACAATATATGACAGCTACTTATACTATAAAAGAGGTAATTTGGCTTCAAATATTTTTTTAAAGATATTGGATCTTTTGATTATTTTGAGTAATAACCAAAGTTGTGTTTCTCTTTCCAAAAATCCTGCATTCCATGCTTGTACTAAGCATGTTGAAATTCAACATTACTTTGTTTGTGAGAAGATTGAGAGTAGCGACATCAACTTAGTTTTTTGTGGAACTTAAGACATGGTTGTAAATATTTTGACCAAATGTCTAACTCATGAGAAACATTATAAATTCAAGAAGATGATGGACCTCATCAAATTAAATTAGTCTAATATATAATTAAATAGAAGTGTTAATAGAGTGTATAATTTCTATTAGACATAATATAGAATAGGCAGTTGACACTGCTTTACCAATTGACAAGTTGTAGCCACTATTTATTGGTGGTAATACCATTTAGCCACCATAGCCTACTAAGCCATCATACAACCTAACAAGACAAGTGTCTATATTTTAATTGGACATTATTGACTAGGCTAGTTATTTGTGTGTTTATATTAGAAAGTTTGTATAGTTAGAAATTGGACTAATAGTATAAGAATTCAAACAAGAAGCTTATTTTGGTAAGTGATTTTAGCTCTCTTCTCTTCACATATTTTTACTTTTATTCTAGTAATATACTTCTTCATATTTTATCACAACATATGCACTTTAGAGATTATATTGTTAGATAAGTGTATATCTATTAAATATTTTAAAGATAATTTCATTACTTATATTTGATTTTAATCTATGTTAAAAGACCTATTATCTTTGAAAATCTTAAGATTTATAATGATGTCTTTTATCTATTTTTTTGTGATGTAATTCTTGCTAATGGATATTGGAAGGCAATACAAAATTTATTTGTGCAATACAAAATGTGTTTTTAAAAAATATATATAAATTATAAGAAAAAAATATTTATAAAAATTTAATTTTAAATTTAATTTAGATATTGGTATTTTTTAAAATAATTTTTTTATTCCTATGATTGAAGATTTTGATTATATATTATATAAATAATAATATTTTGATATATTTTATTATTAATTTGTAACTATTCAAATGTTATTAAATAGTATTATAATATTATTGAAGATAAGAACAACTTGAATAATTTTCAAAGTCTACCTCAATTGTTAATGAAATAATTAACTATGAGTTTAAATAGACTATTATTTTAATAAGCAACATTGTAAAAAGAAGTTTCATAATTTGAATTTTTTTTAAATATATAGAGTCAACAAATAAGATTTGTACTTATAATTTACTTTTTAAAATCAAAAACTAAAAAAAATAAATAAATAAAAGTATATAATGCCAAAATGTAAATAAAATAAGCATAATTATATAAATGAATTTGGTTAAGCCACATCCTAATGCTATTAAAGCCACACTCCCTTTTGCTATTTCATTATTAATTTTGTCCATCTTCCATCTCTGTCTCCTATTTCCAATCATCCATTCTTATCCTCTATTATCAATCTCTCATCTCCAATCCTTGTTTCTAATCTCCCATTTCCGTCCCTCATTTCCTATCTCCCATCTCTATCTCTCGTTTCCAATCTTCCATCTTTATTTCCTATTTCTTTATCTCTATTTTCCAATCTTAAGTTTTTCAATTCTATGTCTCTATTTTTAACCTTAATACTACTATTACATAAATGTAATACTATGCTAAAATCTTATTTGTTGACTTCCAAAATGGCCCATTTTAGCATAGTTTTTTTTAATTTGAAAAAAAAATCCTTCTATTTATTTTTTAAAAAATAATAAAGTTATTTTTTTTGAAAATTAAAAGTTCAAATTTATAGACATTAAAAAAGATCATCCAAGACATTTATTTGTTTACAAGGATTTACAATTCATATTAATTTTGAATAAAGTTGTATAAACATGATCTTCAAAATAATACAAAAAATTATTAAAGTGATCAAAATTAAATATTTGTAAATTTTTTCTTCTACCAAAATATTTCACAAGAATATCTTAAAAGTAAAATATTAATTGATTGACTTTTTTATTTTCCGATTTTTTTTTTGAAAGTATACTTATAAGAAATTAGCTATAGTATAAATAAATTTTAAGTTATTATATTCAAATAATCATATGTGTCAGATTAGGAAATAAGAACTAGGAAATAGAGATGGAAGACTAGGAAATGGGACAAGAATTAGTATGCTTGAGAAGTTTTATGGAACAAGCTCAAAATTTCAAGAATTTATTCAAAAGTAATGATGTTTTTGGTAGAATTAAGGTTTAAAAAATAAAAATATGTTTTCAAATTTGAGGATTTCTTGGATGTTGTGGTGTGTGTACAAGTGAAATTTGGACAATGTTTTGGTGTATTTGTTATAAATGTATATGCAAATTTTGAAGTCAATCAAATAATTAGATTGAAGTATATAAAGATTTTTGTAGGTTGAAGTTTCAAAAATTGGAGTATGAAGATTAGTGAGTGTTTCTTAGAACTTCACCAATTTGTCAATTGAATTGAAGTGAAATTTTTTTGTATGGATACTAGACTTGATTTTCCACATTTGGATGAATTTTGAAAACAATTCAATAGTTCAAAACTGAGATATTAGAGCTGAAAATTTAGCATTTAGGTTAAAATAGGATGCCACCTAACACCCTATTGGATTATCTTGCATTTCTCTCAATTGATAAGTGCAATTGATTTCATCTTTCATGTGCTTGTTTTTAATTAAGATATTATGAAGTGTGCAAATTTTGAGCTGATGTCAATGGTTTGATTATTAGTTGATGAGGTTCCATTCTACTATAGGATTTGTTAAGAATTTATTTAAGATCTAGGATTTGCTTAGGATTTGATTTAGAATTTGATTAAGATTTGATTAAGATTTGTCTATGATTTAGGATTTTATTAGAATTTCGTTAGGATTTGACGTAGGATTTGGTTATAATTCAATTAGGATTTCAATTAGGATTTATTTAGGATTTCAATTAGGATTTATTTAGGATTTTTATTTTTAATATTCTTATAGGATTTTATTTTTATTTTTAATATTTTCTATTTCAAATATTTCTTTAAAGGTTTATTTTTATATTTCTTTAAGATTTCTTATTATTTTTCTTTGAGATTAGTTTAAAACATCTTTGTGTTTCTTTTATAACTTCTTTTAAATTTATTTTGAATTGGCCAAAATTTAATTAGGATTATTAAGGTTTATTTAAAGTTTATTTAAGATTCTATTAGACTTGAAAGGATTATTGTTGCATTTCTACTTACCTTCCATAATTAAGTGCATGGTGCATTTTCAAGCAAGAAAATACATAAAATAACAACAATCAATGACCATATATATTGTTGAATTCCAAAACTTCATTTGTGACATGGACTAGAATGACAAAACCCTCATCAATCAATTTTGATATGGATTGAAGGATAATGTCAAAGATTTATTATTGATAATATTAATACAGAAACTTTAAAATAATTTATTGCTTAAGCCATTCCATGTGAAGCATCCATAACTTAATTTGAACCATCCATAGCTTCAAAGTATTCATACATGTTCAAAACACAATCCTTCATTCAAAACCTCATTGGATCAAACTATATACATATATGGTACACCATTGAATATTGTCAAAGAAATATGTTCGAGTAAAGAAATCAAAGGTTAAAATGCATATGGCATGTCAAAAGTTGCTAAATTCACTTGTAGGTGCATCCCCTTCATTGTGCCAAATACTTGTATATGACCCAGAACATCATTAAGACAGCTCTACAAAAGTGGGAAGTTTGTAGAAGTCATCGGCCCATTTTGGTGACCTATTGACCTTATTCATGAATAAATTCATGAATAAATTCCTACACTAAACTAAAATATAACATCGAGCAGTTGTTTCCACCTCATTGAGAATGCAACCCTCGGTGCAGTATGTTAAAAGGACGCCCTGGCTGTCAAGACCTCCAAACACTCACATTTGACTCAATTCTAACCTAAAAACAAATTTTAAACAGAACTGTCTACTTCAGAATCAATAGCGTACTAGGTACAAAATCAAGCTTTCAATCATTTCTACTGTTACGCACAAAGTCAAGAGGGCAAACCGTCAAGTTGACTACCCCAGCCGCGATTAACTTGTCGCAGCGGCGTCAGCATCTCCAACTTGCAAACCGCCAGCAATACGCTATCACGCTATCATTGAAGTTTGAACAGGTCGTGACAATCAACCGAATGGTTATGATTCTGGAAAGGAATCTATAGCCTATTCCGTCGCCACGAAGGCCGATTTCTTGGAGTTTGGAAAATATGAATATATTTTTGATAGAGTGCGAACATGGCTTGGACGTTGAAGATTTACATCTTCTCAAACGGGAAGAGCAGCATGACCTACCTATCTATGGCCATCCCCTGCGTAAGGCACGTGAGCTTGTCTTCCGTGTGGACCATGGCTGCCATGCCCACCCTGATGTGCCCCAGGTCGAGATAATTCAAGCCTTCCATAAAGCAAATCGGTTATCATTTGCTCGATGTTCTCAGGCGTGTACTTGCAGTAATTCCTGGATCCACCTCCAGATTCCAATAGGTGCCCAAAACTACTAAGGAAATTTCTGTAAGTGGGAACAACTGCCTGAACAACAGCGTTTTTAGTCCCTTCTCGGAGATCTTCCTCGGCAATAATCCATCTTTGATGCTTTTGACAAGCATAGTCGAAAGCGGAACTAAAATCACGTATGCGTTTGGCGACAAGATCTCGGACCACACTCCTTCCTGCTTGTGAGTTGATCCCTTCTCGAGTGAGGTACTTCAGCACTCCACCCCAGACTTCATGCTCGTATGCCAATGTATATTGCTCTACCTGCACATGGTAAACTCTCAGCTTAATCATAGCTGGTGATAATCACTTGATAAAAGCAGTAAACTAACTTGGACAAAGAAAGGTTAGATAAAACCCCTGAGCGCTGCAATTCCATCACCTAAGTTCACAGTCAAGTTCAAAAATCGGGCAAGACAAAAGCATTCACGTCCAAACTTTTGAAAACAACTCGAGTGTGTACAGCGACGCGTGCCGAAAAAGTGAAGCGTTGAGAAGCCTGAATACCTTTCGACGCTGCTCAGTTAACCATTGATCCCCTAGCAATCCACCGAGCTCACATTTCTTAGAGCGCGTTCTCATATACCATATATTGTTCATTAAAAATATGTATCGCAATGCAGGGTCGGTATAATCATTGGACCTCGCTTCAACCTGTCGCTCAAGCGCTTGCATAAAGAGAAGAACGCCATGAGCCAGTCCACTCTCTTCTGGTCGGGCCTGGCCTCGCCAAGTTTGTTCAATTTTCAGCACTTTGTCCATGATTGGGTTGTATATATCACCGACCAAGTATTTGAGATAATTGACCACATAACTGCTGAGTTTTGTCACACTTCCGTCGGGCGCCACCGACACTTCATGCTGCTGCTCAACTACCCATTGTTTGAACTCCCAGAAAGTACAGCAGGCTTGAGCTACTATCTGAAATTTCAATGTCAAAGAAAAATGCAAGAACACAACGGAATTAGGAATTCAGCAAAACGATCCAAACATTGATGGCTAAGGTCAAAAAGTTACATTTCAGGAGAATAACAGGAAACACCACTTCGACAGTGGCGAGAAGATAGATGCATTTGATATCAAAACAAACGAAGAGCGTAAAAGAATTACGAATACAACAAACATCCATCTGGAAACCGAGATTGAGGAGCATGCCAGCTCCAAAAATGTTAAGAAAACTGACTTAATCTGAAGATCGGACAAGAGTCAAAGTTTACCATTTTTTGTAGTTCCCGTAATTGCAATCGGAGCTCACGACAACATTCGCCATCAAATAAACTATTTACATTTGGCATGCATCTTTCCAGTGCGTCGTACATGTCGAGCAATTTGAATAACTTTTCAGGAGCGCGCTGACTGCGAGCAACACCCTCTCCAAAACTTATGAACTGGCCCATTCCTATCCTCGCCACCTTATATAGACATTCGTCGATATAGGCACCGTTGGCAACTTTCCCCAAGACTTGCTCACAGAGCTGCTTCTCACTAGCATATAACACCTTCACAGCTACCTCAATATGCTCGGACCATTTCCCTATCATGGTTTGCAGAATATCCCAGTCCATTTTCTCAAGGGCCTCTGGGTTGCAAGTTTTCAAGTAGTCTAACTTCAACCCCTGCAAGATAGTAACCAAATATTATTAGATCTTAAGCTCATCTAGTCAAAAGTGGTTCAAATGGCATGCCTGAAATTTCACCAGCGTCATTCATATCTTATACAACCTCAACAAATGCATGCTTCCGAGAGATTATCCAGTGGAATAAAAATCGTGTGCCACAGTACCTGGAGGCTGACGAAAGCTCGGGTACTTCGAATCTCTCGGTATGACTCAACACATTTTTCAAGACCTCCGTTACTGGATAGATTTTGCATGATGGCCTGCAACCGCTTCAATACTGCAGGTGGTAGCAGAATCTGATCTGTTAAGCCGTTCCCGTTCGTCCTCTCGGCCTCGTCCAGGCGATCAGGAAGTGTCAACGGTAACGTGTGCTGTACCAATATGCGCTTGAATTCTTTGGCTATTCTCTCCAATGCAATGCCCAGGAGTCCACCATCCAAATTTGGGTTTGGTTCACCTACATTGCATAAAACTATTTCATTCAGATAACTAAGTCAAGTTAACTCACTCCAATCACGTCATACATTTACTCGGCAAATCATGCGCCATAAAATCGGTCGCTTCCTCGCCATAAAATGTGCCATACCTTCAAATGTTACATACTCAATTTCAATACGCTACTAGGGTGAAAGGACTCAGTAACAATCATTTAACTCCCAATGGAATACAATTTCCAAACCCAAACACCTCCAACCCTAGCAACACACTTGGGTCTCAACTACAGTTACTGGTTTAACCCTATTTCAAAGATATTCAACATGTTGAGGCCTGAGGTTTAGTCTACAGATTGTATGAGAGCTATGATTTCGCCAAACAATCTAGGTAAAAAATAGAGGAGCAACTATCATAGTTTTATGCACTTCGCTACCTACAGGGCTGAAAGAAGGCAACTGGTGGAATTCATTACCAAAACAAAACAAACAGTATATTACAATAAGATGAGATACTAAATAAAGCACACAATAAAAACACAGTAAAACACCTACCTAGAACCAGACGTTCACAGCCCTAAAACAAGCTTACACGGCGATCCCAATCAAAAGCAACGCCTAAGATACTAAAAAATCACCATTTATTCATAAACACAAGATGCTTGTGGTTCTCAAAAGCACGTACCCAAGCACCACAATCAATTACGCTATTCTCTTACCCGCCGACCAATACGTTACGAATGTAGTTGATAACGAAAGATAGCTCGAACTCTACCCAGTACCAAAAATCAAGTTCTACAATGTCGGCGTGGAATACAGGCGTGTTACACAAAAAAAAATAAAAAAAATAAAAAAAAGGCATTCGTACCATGAATTATGTCAGTAGAATATAGAAAAGAGTGGTTAGAAGATACGGACCTGTGCTATACGATTTCAATAGAGAAATGGATTCAATAAGCCTCTGTTCATGAGCTTTTCCGACTGCTTCCTGCTGCATTACGGATTCCGCAGCGTCTTGCAAGAGTCTCACAGTGCCTTTTGTATTTAGCTTAATATAATTGACACACTCATCAAGCTTCTGCACAGCGACCAGGTAGGCGTCGAGATTCTCCTTAGGATCCCGCATAAGAGTTACTTCCAGCGCTCTTAATTCCTCAAATTTCTTCAGCACTGTTTTCGCTGGGCCCAAGGCTTCCTCAATCTGACCAGAGAAGCATCGAGCTGACACAGTCCCAAGCAAAAGTGGCGCCATTGCTTCCTCGATAGGCTTCAACCTCCCACGAATATCCTGCAACTTATTCTCCGACTTACTTAAAGCCAATCCAAGCTCCCGGGTCTTCTCCAAGGTTTCACATAGCGCCTGCCTTGCAATTATCAGCTGAGCTGTGGAGGCAACTAACCTACTCAACTCGGACTCCCCCATTTCAGCTCGGTTAACCAACAATGCGACAATACTCGGTGTCTCTTTACCACCAATCTGTCACCACTCTCGGATCGCCTCCGCAGTCCCCCCCTAGCGCATATAATAAATATTAATTCAATTCACAAAAAATAAATAAATAAGCAAAAGAAAAGCCAAGATCTCCGCAACACGTCTCCAGAATCCCCCGAGCCTCTTACAGCGATACTGGATTTCTAATTCCTCAGAACCATTCCACCTCCGATTCACAGCACGACCTTCTAGCCAAGATCTGGAAGCTTCCTAAGAATTCGAAACAGTAACTCCATAAAAACCTCTTCCAACTCTGGCTCTCCGAGCTCAATCATCAACCCTCGCCAGCTACGCAATCATTCACCTCACACAAGCACGGCCTCCCCACCCTCCAAAGCGCAGCTTGCTCATGCGATCCCTCAGCACAGCAACATCATAGCAGCGACCCGACGTCATTTCACCCGATTCTCCATTTCAAAAACCTAAAACCAAATCGAAGCTTCCCCGACACCGACAAATTCCTGTCTCAAAGAATCGGCGAGATCTTGTAGCGCTCAGCACTCTCTTCCTCTCTATTTCAACATGAAATCGCTGACCCGCTGCCCACAGCAAGCAGATCTAAGACGTAGCGCGGCAATAATGCAGTAGTACCATTGCTGCGCAAGCATGGGCAGAAATTCGAGGCACCGTGCTCGCATTAAGCAAGCTAACTAGCGATTGAGGTGCGGAGGCGGAGGAGGAACCCGGTCCCACCCACCCACCCTTGCGAGCAGGAGAGAGAGAGAGGGAGGCCCTGATTATGGCTTCGCGATTCACGGCGCGGATACACCCGTCCCCGTCCCGGGTCTGTGACCGCGGCTCTGCACCTACGGCCGCTCCCTCGGGCTGACGTGTCATGTGGCTTGCGTTCCTTTCATAAGTTCTTCCTTGCCAATGTTAAAAAACCAGCATACACACATACAGATATATACATAGAATAATTCATTTGGATTTTTTGACTTTGTGTAAATCATTTGTTAGAAGACTAAAAATATGTAGAAGATTTTATTTTATATTAACATGTAATAAAAATATAGATATTGTTAAATCTGAAATATAGTAAATAAATAAATAATATTAGCTATCTTAGAAAAAAAACATGGATTCTTATATGTATATTTCTCATATAAAACAACTCAAGGGGTGACAAATGCACAAGATAACAAGAAGAGATAAAAACTCTCTTTAATTTGTTGCATGCTTCATTGTTTTTATCAAAAGTTTTCATCAAAAGCAAAGCAAAGCAAAACTTAGATTAACTATGACATTAACTCAGATTTATGTGTTGTTTCAAGATTTTTCTAAGAAGAAAAGCATGCAAGAGCTCTAGAAAATAAAACTTACGCATGAAGTATTGATTGGAGAAGCCCAATTGAGTGTTTTTTTCCACTATATTATATACCATATTCACCAAATGATTATATGTATGACATTCTAATTCAATATAGCTTGTGAGTTTCAATAGTTTTGGATTGTTTCATGAACTTCAAGAGGGGGGTGGATTAAGAAAAAGAAGAGATCCCAATTGAGTATTACCACCAATGATATGATTGCCATCATCTTTTCAATGCATTTTTTAGTTGTCTGCAATTCTACTTTGTTTTTTCTTTTACAAGAATTATGAACAATGTTGGCGATTCTCACAAAGAAAACACCATCTAGTAAGGTTGACGCATGTAATTTCATGAAAAAAGAGAGACGTAGATGCCATGAGTGTTGATTGTTGTGGAGGAATGCATTTTGCAAGATCCCATCTTAGTCAAGCACTTTGCTACACTCCCTACCTCTAGCATACTACTACTCATAAGAAACACCTTCAATGCATTATTCAACCTGTATCAATTGTATACTTCCCATTGTTTAGTTCAATTGATGGATGTTTGAGCACAATCTTATGTATGAAGAAACCCGTGTATTAAGGTTACATTATGCATTAAATAAATTGATCGATGGTCCAATGAATACTTGAGGCCAGCTATTATGGCAATGAGAGTTGCTCTCGCATGGAAAAAGAATGGTGATTGCACATTCAAGTTGGATTAAGGTCACAAGAAATTTACAAGGTATCAACTCTCTTAGGTCTTAGAGCACATAGTTTCTCTTCAATGCATTTACTCCATTGATGCATTTACTCCATTGATGCATTTAAAGCTTCTATTCATAAACATTGTATATTTTGAGGATTTGTAATTATGTTCATATTCAATTACAAATATAATTTTTGACAACATTGTGCATTCTTTCATTGGTTTGTGTATTTTAGATGTATTCTTTTCTCAATGTGTACTTAGATTATGATTTGTACAATATTGAAGAGTATTTAGATCTCTATATGTAACCATAGATGTTTTTTGTTTGATTTAGATGTTTGTTGTATAGATAATCAGAGAACATCTATAGCTCAAAATATTTATAGAATTCAATGTGGATCATGTGAAATTAATTGTATTATATTTAAAATGAATATTACATTCATAAAGTAAATTCTAATTCACTTAGTAGTTTTTAAAGCCAAATTTCTTTTACTATAGCATTAGTTAAGGCCATGTAGTTGGATTGAGTTGATGATAAAGCAACACTATCTCAAGAAATAATTCTTCTAGCCAAAATAAAGAAATTATCCAATGTCAATTGATGAGTATGTTTATTTCGAGCCCAATCAGCATCAAAAGAACCATGTAGAACATCTCCATGAGGTATTCTTTAGTATCTAAAGCCAAAATGAAGTTTACCTTTAATACATCACATTTTTTTTCTTTAAAGTTTGAACATGTAATATTTTGGAGTTTGAAAGATATTGTGCTAAACTTCCAACATTAAGCTACCAACTTGTGGAGAGTAGGGATATGAATCAATAAATTCTTATTCTTTTGGAGTAGGCTAAGATTCATCTTTACTTAGTCCTATACTAGATTGAATGAGTGTGCTAATGAGATTACAATTTAACATATTATATTCTTCAAGTTTAGAAGTTAAATATTTTTGTTAGAAGTTAAATATTTTCTTTTCCAATGATATCTTTAGTTTGTTGAATAAGATGTAATTGATTACTCACAATAATACAATCATCATTATAAGCTATTAGAATAATAAATCTTCTACTATTTTTTCTATTTTTAGATAAATATTAATATTAGTTGCTAATCTTGTATAGCCTTGTAAAATTAAATAATTATCAAGGAGTTTATACCATGTCCATGATGATTCTTTAAGTCCATACAAAGATTTGATAAGCTTATAAACTAAATTTGGATTTTTAGGTTGAGGTAATCCTTTAAGAATAAACATGTATATATCTTCATCTGTATATCCATGTAAAAAAAGGTGGTTTGAACAACTAATTGATGTATTTCAAGGTTGTATTGTGTAACTAGAGCCAATAACACTTTAATGGAATTTAATTTTACAACCAGAGAGGATGTCTAAAAATAATCAAAACTTTTCATTTGAGTGAATCTTTTAGCCACTAATCTTACTTTATATTTGTCTAAAGTTCCATTAGCATAAATTTTAATTTTTAATACCCACTTAAAACTAATTGGATTTCTATTAGGAGAAAGAGGTGTTAGCTTCCAACTTTTATTTTCTAAGAAATTAAGTTTAATTGTTATTGCAACTTGCCATTGTTCTTTATTAAGTCACTTAAAAGCTTCACTTGAAATTAAATTTCTTCAAATAAAATATTTTCTACATTAGCTTGATGATTTCTTTTATGGTAAGGGCAAAGTCTTACAGATGAAACTTCATCTTGAATGGATTCAATCAACCACTTTGTTGATTGCATTTTTCTTTTAGGTCTAGGAGAGCATCGATGTGGAGGACTTTGATTTATTGGAGGATTAGAAATAACCTCAACTTCTTCATGAGTCAAATTTCTTTTATTTTCCAATGAAAGCTATCAAAGTGCCTCCACAATGTCATCATGAGAAGGTTGATTTTATGAACTTACAATACTATTTAATGGATGTTGTACCAGTTGACTTTGTGTATTCAAATGTAAAGATGAATTATGTTGAAATTGTGAAGGTGAATCAATTTGATATTATGAAGAACATGGTTGAGATTGTGAAGATAATATTTGAGTTTTTTTGTAAAGAACTTAGATTCTTAAAGAAATTAAAATCTATTAATTTGGATTCTTCATCTTGGTCTATTTCAAAATGTTTAATTGGTTCCATATGAATACATTCATCAAAAATAACATCACGTGATATTATAATCTTTCTATTAAGAGTTGTTATAAGACAATAAGCTTTTGATTCTTCACTATAATCCAAGAAAATAGCCTCAATAGAATGTGAATCAAGCTTTTTTCTAACTTTCTTTTGAACAAGCACATGAGAGTTACTCCCAAAATTTTGAGATAAGATAAAATTGGATAATCTGCCAAAACTACACCTACTAACGTTCTATTTTTACATTCAGATGCATTGTTTTTGTTATGGTGTGTAAGCTAAAGGCATTTCATTTTGATGCCTTCTATTTCACAAAATTCATTAAATTTATCTGACATATATTCTCCACCTTGGTCAGATCTTAATGTCCTAATATTGTTTCGAGTGTGTCTTTCTACAAAATTCTTATATTGTACAAATTTATCAAAGGTTTTGGATTTATGTTTCATTAAATAAATAAAAAAAAATCGTGAAAATCATCTATAAAGGATACGAAATATTTGTATCCAGGATGTGTTCCTGCTTGCATAGGACCATGAATATCAGAATGTATAAGTTTTAGAATCTTTGTTGCTCTAAGTGATGCTTTAAGTGGAATCTTTTTCTTTTAGTTATTTTCCTTCAATACAAGATTGACATAAAGTTTTGCCCTTGACACTAAAAGGTTCAACTCGTGTTGACATTGTTTGGATTTGTTATAATCTGTGTGGATTGATGTGGCCTAGTCTTAGGTGCCACAAATCAACTTTGCTCAAATTTGTAGTAGTTGGCATAGTTCTAACTGTTGAATTAGGTATAATAGTGGTACCTAATTCAAATAAGACAAGATTCAATTTGCACTCTGCAATTATTTGTCTTGAGGCATTTAACAAAGTTATAACTCCAAATTTAACACGAATTCCTCCTCCAGCTTCATCAAGCTGCTTAACTGAGAATATATTTATTGCAAGTCCAGGTACATATAAAATATTGGGTATGAGTTTTTCCATACCATTTATAAATTTTACAGTAACATAACCTGGTCTTTAATAAGATGTCCGGGTTTTTTACAATAAAAACACCTCTTCTCAACAGCATTAAAGTTTTTCTTACCAAAAGGCCAATTATTACTTTTACCTTTGAAATTTGCAAACTTATTAAACTTAGGCTTATTAAACTTATTATTGTTGAAATAAGTCCTTTTAATATTATTATTATAAGAAGACTTCTTCTGCACATAAAGTGCTGCTGTATTTTCTACTGTAAGATTTATATCCTTCATCAAAGTTTCTTTTTGCATCAAAACTGTGATTAAAGACTGTAATGTAACTCCAGAATGTCTTCTTAAGGAACTAACAAAAGTTCTATAAATGGGAGGTAAACTCCTTATTAAAGTGAATATAGTCTCATCATCTGACATTGGACACCCTGCTGCAAGTAATTGCTCAAGATGTGCTTTGAAAGTATGTACATGTTTTACAACACTTTCATTTTCTTTCAATTTCAATGTATACAACTTGGTGCTATTGGTAAAGGTTCACTTCCACTTTCCACAGATCATAATTTCTCTGCCTTGAAAATTAGAGTTAATCTATGTTTCCAAATATTAAAATATGTTTCATTAAACTTAGAAACACGACTTATATCTACCTTATGTGTCATATTTCAGTGTTGTTAATTATTATAAAATGAATTTTACATTGCTCCATGAACTTGGAAATATTTCTTTCAATATTTCCATGTCCATATTACTTACAGATTTTAATTTTTTTTGAATGAAATGAGAATTACTTCCCCTGAAGTTGAAAATGCTGAATTCAACACCAATCTCAATCTACATTTCAAATTGTTGATTTACAAATTTATATAAATCAAGTCTTATCTACTTCAAGCATTTGAATTCCTCTCTGATTGATCTAAATCCTGCTGTGATACAATATAAAATTAATTGTATATTATACTAAGAATGAATATTACATTCATGAAGTTGTCCTCTTATACCTCATGGTATAACTGTTTGGTGAAAGATTGTGTCGTTAAGAATTCTAATAAACTAGTGTACTACATAATCACTAATTAGCTAATGTGATTCAAATTTCCATGACAATGTCATGGGTTCAGCTAGTATACATTTATAAATAGTTTGTTAACACTTAAGATATGTCAATTTAATACAAAAAAATATATATAAAATATCACATTGATAATCGTAATATAAAAAAAACGTGGATTAGTCTATTTCGAGACTTTCTCTTAATTTGTATTATCTGTATAGGATGATCCTTTTAGAAGATGACTTTTCTTCACTAAGTCAAGAATCTTCATAAGACTTTTGGACGATGGCCTCTCAAAGTGGGTCTCCAGATATAAATATTCTATTGAAAAAATATCTATATACCTTTAAAATAACAAGTAATAGTTCTTTTATTCAATTTTGTATGTATGTATGTATATATTGTATTATAAGAAAATAATGTATGTATTTATTATAAGAACTTGTAGTTTGTACATATGTAGGTATGTATTAGTCCAATCTTTAAGTAAGTCATTTTAGCATATTAAATTGAGAAATTTATTTTATAATTTATATCCCTTTGTCATTTTTGAAATTAAACATATACACACAAATATATTTATATATTTATATGTATACATCCACTAATAGTTCTACCATACTTTTCACAACTAATTGTTCAATAATCCTTAGTATGTATTTACATAAAAACACATATAATTTCTCAACAAGACCTTCTTTGTTAGTTCAAAGATATGTCGTTTCTTTTTTCTTTTTTTAGTCTCATTTGGGTGTTTTAGATACAGAGAATTGTTGCAAACTTGTAGGATAATGTCCAATGTACGAACAAGATATTTTAAATTACATAGTTTTCGGCCAAGCCGAAACTCTATGGTTTGGTTTTGAATTCTTGTAATATTAGAGTCTAATTGATTTCAGAAACATATTGCAAATATAAATACTTGAGAGTATCCGTTTAGATATTACCTAAAATGCACTTATGGATCACTCTGAATCACAGGACAATAAAGAATAAGAGCTCAAGCTATTCAAAGGCATAGTTTGAGTCAAGCCACAACAAACGTGCAATTCTGCGTTATTTTATACATTAACACATGATATTACAAAGGCAAACCAGAGATGACCTCAAAAACTCCGGATCCCAAACCCAGAAACTAATCAGCAAAATCTTGACAACCTGAACCAACTCCTGATGGAGTTGATAGCTACAGTGGCACCTTCTAGATCTACATCTGAATGCAAAAACAAGCGGCACTTACATGGCTGTAAGTACAACTCGATCATTGAGGGATGCCCTGCTAATTAGATAGTTAGCTCGAAAACGCTAGAGAAAGCCAGAACGTCATAGACTGATTTCCCATAAAACTACGTCAAAGGAGTGGCACCAACTACGACGTAACTCCAAGGAAAGTCAATCAACTGACATTCAAGACTAAACTTGGTGATATCGACAAATTGACCGGATCAACCTGATTAAAAATAACTTGCTAACTACTACTATAGTGGAAGTAGGAGTACACTAAGTCTTGTCACAATAAACGTGTAGATTGCTACAAAAAGATCAGATGATTCTATTCCTAAGGAAAATAAATATGGTTAATCGGTAAAGATTGTGTACCTCAAAGAGAGTCTGGACCAGCGTGATGTTAGGCACTCTCTCTACCTGGATTGAACTTTTTCATAAAAATCTAGCCACGCCAAGGGATGGAAGAAAGCTAACTGCAGTGTTCCCAGTCTTTCAAAGACGAGACAAAACAGAATTTCTCACACCACTTAGGTCCGTATGCTGTCTGGGTCCTCGATTAAAATCCGCACATACTTTCGAACGATCTCGTCTCCTTTAGGACCTCGCCGCTCGCGGCACTGAAAGCAGTTGGTCCTATTGCAACCATCATCTCTCAATAAATGTCACCAATGATTTGATGCAATTGAGATCACACGCGAATTAACGTTATGATACTTTTAGAGACATACTAGTTGTAAGGAGTTCATACAATCTCTAACCAGAGAAGGCCTGCTACAGGACAGACAAGATTGCAGCAATGCTAAACCAATTTAAGGAACTTGCACTGCATATCAGTATTCCATGAAAAAACTGAATGCTTACCGTCTTGGAAAGTTGACATTTTTGCATTCTTCACATTCCCAATTACCGTTTATTCCTAGTTCTGGCCTCAGACCACCACCCATAGCCGTTGCATTCACTGCTGCCGGATCCCCAAATTCCTGACCAATGAGACCAAAGAAGATCTAGTATTCAGGAGTGATGCTCTTTGCAAGAACCGAGATACATTCCCTCAAACCTTCATCCTATCTAGGAGCACATAGATCAGGTGAGAACGTTTAGACACCTAGATCGGGAAATAATTTAGTGAAGGTATACCTACTAACTGCTTAGTATGAAATGAGACTATGTTAGGGATCAAACACTACGTTAAGATGCTGAACATACCCGTAAAAAGTCGCTGGGACGATCCTTAAAGTCCTCAAATAGTAGATCTAGGCGACCCATGATTCCTCGAGTAGACCCTGCCGGACTTCCGATAGCCCCGACAACGTTGCCTCCTCGTGCTAAATAATTCCCTAAACTGTTGCCATGTGCTAATCCTGGTCCTGAGTTTAGAGCAAGGCTGCCCAAGCCACCTGAGCCTGGACTCCCAATGCCCGAGGCTCCACCTAAATGAGATTGTGGGAGAAGGTTTACTCCATTCAGAGGCGTGGTCAGTCCAAGTGGATTGGACCCAGATATAAGGGAGGAAGTAGTGACTAATCCTGACTCTCCTCCTGTTTGCATTCTCGACTTCATGGTCTGTAACCAAAGAGCAGCTGAAGCTAAGCATTCACCGGCGTCCCCTACTGGATCCGTGGATGCAGCAAAAGAGGCCACCAGTTGCTCTGCTAGTCGCTTTCCTTCAGTAGCAGCGCTGCACAATAAAAGGCCTAGCATTTAGTACTCTACAACCCCACAGTAATGACTATTAGCATGGCTGGAATCTGATGCAGTATGATGATACATTCACAATCTTTGAGGACGTGTAATGGTTGTGACCTGAGAGTGGACCGGCGACCGGACACACCACCATCTCCAGTCACGTAATGAGATGAAAACGACGGAAGAATAGGCGAATCAAAGCATCCTCCCATCCAAGGCTCCATATCTCCAACATTGACGTGGCTGGATCCTGGAGATATGGAAATTCCAGATTGTTGATTTTCAGCAACCCCCATGTGTGGAATCAGGCCTTGATGAAGTATCCCACCGCGCTCACCTCCCAGGGCCTGCACCAAAACAACTCGTTATAAGTTCTTCGTATTACAATACTAAACTCACAAAGCATGCGTTTGACCAAGAATCCCAAGGTTTTACTTCATCCTCCATCATGAATCGAAATACAATCGCTGAAGTGTCACAACAAAAAAGTTCATTGATCAAACAAGTTGACCAGGTTTACATCTCTTTAGGCATTAAATTACTAGTATTTGAGATGAGAGATTCAAGTTTTTAAAGTTTTCAGGTTTATACACTCAGCGAACAAGAAATGGCATAAATTCTGAACATTATTAAGCATAAGAAAAATTACCATATGTGGGGCTAACCCTGAAAGACCCATTTCGCGAGAAATCTTGATTCTCTCTATATATGCCTTCACTACTGCATTCCCCAGTGGTCCTCTCCGCTTCCCACATTTGTTGCACTGTCAATAACACAATAACGAGCTAGTTTAAGAAACTGACACGTCACATACCAGCGTAACCTCTTTTCCGAATCATGTGCGAAAATCTAACACTGATGAGTAAACCAAGAAACTGGCTTCTTGGAGCATCCAATGTAGGAGCACATAATACGGTAGATGCAAACTCCAATGCTCGCAGACAAAAAATGTCATTTTCCTATTCCGCAATGACAGAAATAACCATCAAATAGCAGAGGTCCACAACAAGATGTCCATGACTGCGTATAGACAACGTAATTCAGGAGATTTGAGCCTGATTGAAAAGGAAGCTGGTGACGACTTCCTGCTTAAGGCAAACTATTATCACTTTGAAACAAAGTCGTTTATTTGTCCTTGATGATACACGATAAATCCACTACCAGCAGACCTGTAAGAACTGCTGATACCGCTCGATAGGCTGTGAAGACTACACATAACCTACACCCTACAAGTGCCGTTTCTAAACCCAGTAGCTGATGAAAGAGCTAGCGAAGTCTTCTTCGACGAAATTACAGAAAGATATACATGGTTCCGGACGTACTAGCACATAATAAACTTACGAAATGAATGGTTATTTCGAATTGTCAATAATAGTCCCCAGGTTGGGTTCCGAATACCCCATGAGTAAACCAAAAGAATACAGATTATAGTGTCCTAAAAAATCACTCACAGAAGGACCAAAAGCCATGAATGGCTATATTAACTACATGACGAAAGCAGTGAAAAAATTTAGTACCTCCGTTCTTCGGGGATAGTTGACATTGGTACACGATGGTTCGTCGCATGCCCAGTTTCCATCTTCCAGTGCTCGTGGTTGTTTTCCCCTTTGTAGCGAACCCCCTTCACCATTCATCTGTTCTGGAAGACCTTGCATTCTGTACATGGTCATAATATATATATATATATATATATATATATATCCGTGCGTCCGTGCTCAAGAAATTGAATGATTCAACTTCATCAACAGAGAGAACTTCGCTATAAAAACAGGTGAATTTTGATGATTTTGGGTTTAAGCACTGAACTTGTACTGGATGCGTAAGAACGATGCCTTACAAAGAAATTATGGAACACAAACATCGGACAAAATGTCATGTTATCTCCGCAAGCCTAAACGGGCAAGCTCGGACTATCAAATCCTACTACGCAACGAGGGAAAACATTCGTTGCGGCCAGAATGTATCTAATTTTGAAAATATATATATATATATATATATATATATATATATATATCTTCTTTCCTGCCTCTTCCTTCAGCGCATTTAGAATTTCGACACGATATGTTCTCCTGAAAGTGATTCTCTCTGCTCTTCTATTCGGATCATGGGCATTGCATATTCATAATTCCGTACCAGAAACTTAGGTATCCATAGAGTAACCTTTAGGAAGAATCCCGATGTCACAATCATGGAGTTAGAGAATGAAAAGGGTTCATACTTTACTACAATGTGTGAGACGCTTCGGTAATGTATTGATCAAGGAACTTTTCTGCTGTTGAGTACCAGCCACATAATCAAAACTGCACGAAGCACAACGAGAGGGAATTATTATTCTTAGCCAAGCAATCATTCATTACTAGTCTACTTCGGGGCTGCAGGAAAATTGAGAGTGTGGGATTGTTCGTTAAGGGGAATCAATGACAACGAAGGGCATTGCTTTGATGTGCGATGCACTTGAGCCCATCCACGTTGTTATTAAACAGGTACACTTGCAGACACCCACTCTGATGACTCAGATTGACAATTAACGTTAATGATGTTGAGAGTATTGCTTGAAGTTGTGATTTGGTGGCTCATGAGTACCTTGAAAGATGTTGGGAACACTTGAGCAACCAATTCGCATAATGACCACCAGAACCTTCACCAACAGAGTACATATATACCTGCAGATGGTTAACAGCAACCGATAGACTCACAACTTAGTGGCCATTCAAAAGAACACCGTGGGAATGATGAAACTAACTCCAAGGCATGGCAAAAGCATGTCATGTCGTGCGACGCTGTCAGCAATCTTCTCAGGCATTCTCTGTCGTGTTCCAATTCAAATTATCCAACCACCATTCCCCAAATATTCAGCAACTTTGTCCTTTTCTAATGTCTCAGCCGATTTAATACAGTCATCTCTGTAACGAATCCAAAATAAGCATTGGCACGTACCTACGCTCAGAGTCACCCTATAATGCAATGCTTGGATTCCGAAATCTCGTCACACCAAATGCGAGTAGGCACCACGACCGGAGTTTCAACACTGAATTACGAACAGCCAACGCCAGTATTGGCAACTTGTATAGATAAGAATCTTCGCAATTCGCTCCTCGCCGCGAAATTAACGGACCGCTACACAAGACCATACAGCGCCTGCCACCGCCACCTCGTCCTCACCACCCGCTCAATTCTGCTTACAATCCCGCAACCACCACCACCACCCCTTAACCAACCCCCTCACTCTTGCAAATCTCAAAAAACGGCTGCCATGACTCACTCTCTTTTGAGTGGCAAAACGCTAAACAACAGGAACATGTCCTCCCAATCCCGCACAGAAAAAAACTACGAATGAAATCCTGGTAACCCAACTCCCAGCCTCGCCCTGGAGAACGCCACCACTGAGGCTCCAACGCCGCCAGCAAAATGCCTCCAATACTCGCGGGCCTGAACAGTGCGGGAAGGAGGGAGCTGCATTGCAGTGCAGAACGCGTGGTGGGCGAAGAAGAGGAGGACGAGGAGCGGAGAGAGAAGAGAGAGATAGTGAATGCGCCGTGAGTGAAAGGAGCATCAATCCTGGCTTACGCGACGCAACGCAACTCGACCCACGGTTACCACGGCATGGATGAATGAATGTATGTATGGATGAAGTAAACTTGGCGAAAGGCTGCCCCTGATGGATGGACGAGGGATGCGGGGAGGGTAGATGAATGACTCTGAATGAATGAGGTGGAATGGATGATCCCAGGCATCGCCCCCCGTATACATTCACACCGCCACCTGACCAACCTCGTCCTCTGGTTGTCCGGTCTGCGTTCAATGTGGACCAAATAATTAAGTTGGCACCACAGGTAATTTAGATACATGAATTTGCAGCCAAAGAGGTTTGTAGAATTTTATGTTGGGGTGTGCATTGCAAGTTTAGGGCAGCTTCTGGTGGCACTAGTAAAGACTGTCATGATATGTGGTCGAGGTGGATGGCAAGTTGTGACTGCAGTAGCAAAAATTGTGGTGGCATTAACACCCTATAAGTAATATAACTTTCATACCTTTTTCCATTATATATATATATATATATATATACATATATATAATCATATTCATTTTTTCTAAAATATAACATAAGAAATCTGAAATTGGTTTGATATTTTTAATTTATATTACATAGTGTTATTTGATGATTTAATTTAATAAAATATCAACATTTCCAAACAATATAGTTATTATATGTATATATACATTCAAATGTATTTGAAACAAGCTGTAGATCATTAAAGTTAATAAGAATTTGGAATAACAAAGCAACACGATCCATTTTAATATGTTAAGTTCTTTAATTTAAAAATCACATTTGATTCCATATCGGGATGAAAATTTCGGTCTTTACACATTTAAGTGCAGAATGTAGGACAAAACAAAGATATTTGGTCATGTCAATATGTAAAAGTTCGTAAAACTCTTGGAACAGCCAATGGTTGGCAGAGGACAAAGAAGTATGCATGAATCTCTTTAGTATTAAATAAAAGACTTAGTTTTATATTTAATTTTTAGGTAGCTCAGAACATACCATAAAATATTTTGTAATGTGATTGATTGTATAGGTGACTTACACCTGTAGACAAATGAGGTGGTCATCAATGACTGAAAGTACTTCAAGTGCCAATTAGAATTAATAACGCAAGCATGTATGTACATAGTTTATAATCAATAGTCATATATAATAGATATTAATAATTCGTGATAATGTTCTTTGTAGCATTTAAAATTTTAGATCATGATTCTAAAGTCTTCGATCTCTACAAAGAAGTCATCTCAGATGATGGTGACAAGTCATCCAAACAACAATAAGTTGTGCATTTAGATGAGTGGAATTGAGAAACTTTTACACAAGAACTCTACAAGGACAGAAGTGCATCCAAATCGCGAGGTGGACAGAGATCTCTGAAGCGGAAGATAGCTCTTCAGGGAAAAAAAACCCAAGAGGGTTGAGAACACATTCAATACCAATGACTCTAACAATATCGTGGTAAGCTACTAAAGTGCATCCTAAGTTACTTCCGTGCATCAGAGACTTAATTCAACTCTACAAAATAGTTCAAGGAGTGTATCAAAAAAACGAATTTTTTTTGGCTTACTGTATTAGGTATGGTAGGACGTCCGAACTTGAAATCATGTAAGATAACATCGTCAATAGTCTCATTCATCATCTATGCAGATAGATCCAATCTAGCAGAAAATCTCCACGTGGTATGTGGGTAAACAGTTAGATTAACTTCAGTAAGCAAATTAGCTCCAGAAGTAAATAATATACATATAATCTAAGAGAACTCACCATACCAACACACATGAACTAGAATGGTCAACTCCTCCACACTCAGGGTTAGTACAACCGACTTCAAAAGATTTGCCTTGCTGCTCCAACTCTAGCATGTGAAGCGCCACTTCACAGCTCTGTGCAACAATCGGTTCAGCATCTGAGCGAAAAGACTTCAGCAACTCCACGCTTCGTTCATCTGTTATGCCAACCAGTCCTTCAGTGTCCACAAATGATAAGATAGGGTCTAATGATGAATTCTACGCTGCCAGGGCTTGGTCACTTGATTACCAAGTACATCTCTTAGCTTACACAAGACCGACTTGCATTCAATAATATTTGAGAGTTGAACCATTCAAAACAAACAAATATTTATCATGAGGTCATACCAGCAATTGAGCCCAGGGCCTCAGCAGCTTCATGTCGGACCATGGGATGCTCCATTGCATCCTTTAAAGTAGTCACTAGAGCTTCCGTTGAATCTTTATCTTGAAGCTGCCCTAAAACATATGCAACCTGCAAAACCAGAGTTGTGCAAACAACAAATAACATGCGATAGCTTAGAATAGTACACTTTTTCAAGTTACATTTAAGCACAAAACATACAGACTTTTCTAGATACAGGAGTACTGGATAGGGATTCATACCTCATGCTTTAAAAGAGCACTTTCACAATGCAAAGTTTCCACAATAGCCGCCACAGCTTCAGGGCCACCGCGGTTACGAAGACCAAACAAGGCTTCATAACGCAAGTGCATTTTCTCCTTTTCGTCAAGAAGCACCTTCCTTTAGCATCATAATTCAAACAGAGAAGAAAAAACACCCTGTTTAGAATACATCCTGATTACTGAACACCTTCCACCTATGATCTTCTGACCTCGCCTAATTCATCACCTCATTGTCAAATTATTACCATCCAAGACAACTCATGACATCCACTTCATTAGCGGTAAGGTGCGAATTCGCTAAAGATGAACTGGACAACAAGTGCCTGCATCCCAGTTTCCCAAGAGGTGCGCTTAATCCCAAAATAGAAATCAAGAGGATTTCTATTGGAACGATAAATCGAAATCATGACTGAAAGATGACAATGGATGCTGTGAAAACTGAACTGTTTTACCTCATCTCAGCAACAGAGGAGGACGAGGAAGCCGCAATAACAGGATCCACGGATCGAAAGGGTGATTCTTCCAAGTCTTCTGCTTCAACTTGATGAATGCGATGCAAGGCTAGTTCGCAGGTTTCCCGCACCTCTGGAGCCGGATCATTTACAAGAGCCTCTTGAAGCAACTCCAAACACTCTGGTTTACCGATCGCACCTAAGGCCTCCGCTGCCTGCAATTAAAGACTTGATTATTAGACTTGCCAGCTATCTTTAACAAACAGCTCTCAAACCAAGTTAATCACGCGGATTGCATTCCACTTATTCTATCATTCAGGTTGCGCATGCCCAGGTGGTGTTGCAAAGGGTATCACTTAAAAACCCTAAAATCGCTTGGTATGTATTGTATCCGTGTTCCTAAGCACTTCAGAGAAAACCTCGCCCTCACTACTTAAAACAAAATACACGTAAACCACAATGCCCTAGTAATTCTGAAGTTCCATCGCAAAACAAAACGCCAAGCACGTCGTTATTCCAATTCCCACAAAACCTCGACTCGACAAAAGTCGTACCTCGTGACGAACGATTGAATGAAACTCATTAACGCTTCTCAAGGTATTACGCAGAGCAGCGATGGCCTCAGCGTCCTGCATTTGGCCCAGCGCGAACGCCGCCTCGTGCGCCAACAAGTTGGACTCATCGGACATGGCATCGACGAGGGCCTGTCGCGCATCATCGCCCTTGTAATTCCGCAGCGAGAAGATGGCCCGCCATCGCAACGGAACAGCGAGCGAAGAATCCAACAAGCACCGCCGCAGGAACGACACCATTTGTGCTTCCGACATTGCTGAGGAGACAGACGCTTCTAATTCTACAGGCAGCGCCGTCGAGACAGGTTGCATAACAGCAGGCCCCGCTGCCACCATCGCAAAACGCACCTCCACTCACAACACACCCTAACCTCGAAACCACAATCCCGACCACCTCGCTAAACAGGGCTTGATCCGCCGCCCCGCAGGAATCTCAACATCGCCAACAGCAGTCTTGCTTCTAGGAACACAAATCACAAAAGTCTGTAGCTGTGGTGCGAGCCGCTAACGAATTGCAATGACTGATGAATAACAAAAACAGACGATACTCTTCGGCTTCGACGAAATGCTCCTTTTCGTCGCACTGTGGAGAAAGGAGCCTACAGGCATAGACGAAGTACTAAGGAAGGGAAAGCCAGTTGCGGAGCTGGACACGTCGACTCTGATGGCAACTAAGTTAGGGCGCAAGTCACCGATTCAGTGCCGCAATTGATGACGTTATTATTTATTAATGTGTGGTGGAATTCCCACACCATCTCTCACTCTCACTGGTCTCCCTTCTTCCACTGTCTCGCTTTCTCGATCCCTATGACTGACTGACAATGGTTCTATCTGTCTTGTCTGTCTGTCTCGCAGAATCCAGCCATTTATCCATCCATCGCCGCTCCGGCTTGTCTGTCTGTCCCCATCGGGTTCCGCTACAGCCCTGCCTGGCTACCTGCGTTCCTTCCCCTTACTGATGCCCTAATCCAACTTTTGGTTTTTACAATTAAGGTCGGAATACCTTGAACCAACAACTTAAGGTTTTTCAGCTATCTCGAAGTTTTTTTTTTGGAAAAAAAATAAATAAAAAAAATCGTGGAGATATAAGGTTCTAATGTGCTCTAAAATAAAAATAAAAAAATTATAAAAATTATAGTGGTTTCATTGATAAAAAATTATAAAGGGCTTTATACTTTGAACCCCTAAACCAACACATACACTTGGCCATAATTATCCATAAAAACACATTAAACCACCACTTTGTCAATCATTAGTGGATTTGGAGTGGACTTAGAATCTTTCTACATGAAGAATGGTTGGTTTTGGATTTGTGCAAGGGTGGCTTTTGACAAGGTCTATGAGTTGGTTTAGGAGCGTGATATAATTTAAGGTATTTTGATGCTAGTCACTCATCTTTAAAACATAATTTTGAAAAAGTTAGGGTACAAAAACCATGACATAAAGATCTTGTCTTTACATTGATGTATATATATATATATATATATATATTTGTTGTTAATACCAACTTTAAACATGTGTTTGATTTTAAAGATATTAAACTCATATATATTTGATTATTTTTGTTATTTTAATTTTTATTTAATTTTATATTACATTTTTAGAATACTTATGGTTAGTCAAATTAAAAACTTAATATTTAATTATAAATTACAATATATATTTTATAATAAAATTAATTATATATATATATGTATATAATTTTAATATATTTGATTAATATTTATTTAAATTATATATATTTATAAGGGTATTATTGATGTTACCAGAATTTTTGCTACTATTAATACAACTTGCCATCAATGACTTGTTATTATAATTTTTGCTAATATTATTACAAGCTATTTTAAACTTGTGTTCAATATTACAATACACTTTATGGAATATTATTAATACATACCACAATGGATAAAATTCATGTTCTTTGTGGATGTATCTTTTGATATTTCATAAAATTCATTTTGTAATACAAGTTTAAGGCACCTTGTTATGGCATCAACAAAAATTGTATTGATATGTAATAGATGACAAATTTTGGTGGGATTAGATGTATCTTCTATATATACATATAATATATTATAATTAATTCAAAAAATTTAATTATAATAACAGATAAAATAAAAATGAATACCTTTGAGAGAAAAATCTTTAAAAATAAACAATAATATTTTTACAACCATTATTTATCAAGGTGTCACGGCCATAATCATATAAGCTAATAATTACATATAGAAATAGGTAGAAGTAAGTAAAAGTAGATAAAAGTAAGTTAATTGTATAATATTTAATATAGAAGCTTCCTAGAAACTTCCTAGACGCTGCTTTGACTTCATAGGTGTCTTTAATTGACTTTTTGGATTAGAAACGTGGTCAACAAGTTGGCCATGTGCCACACATGTTGTTAGCTTGAAGATCAAGCTAACTATGTGGCCCACACGTAGGAAAACTTGCCTTGTAAGTCAAGGCATGTGTCCTACAAAGTCAACACATATTGGAGGTCCTATAGAACGTCGCCACGTAGCCCCTAGTTAGATAGTATATATAGAGACAAGAGTGAAGGCTTCTTCACTCTTGTCAACTCCTTTCTTACTTCTAGTCTAGTTTCAAGGGTCTCTAGTTTTCTTGTATTTTGGCAATAGCCATTCCAGTTTCTTTCTTAATATACATATTTCTATTTCATCCTATTTCTTTTTTGAGAAAAGTCTCACTTACTCTTTAGCTTTCATCGAGTTCTTGTCCTTGACAGATTGACAAGAGTACACTTACAATATCAGAGCTTTGTCTTTTCTTGATTAAGAGTGGATTACCCCTTTTTCTTGATAAGACATAAGCGCATTAGAAGTTGCGGATTACCCTCTTTTAAACTGATATTGTTCTTAGTATTTTCTTTGTTATCAATTCCTCTCTTCTATTTTGAGCGTTATTAGACATCTTCTCTTTTCTAAGTGCTACTATGGCAGAGCTTGTTGAAATGAAGAGTACAATGGCACAGATGCAAGAACAATTGAGGGAGTTAATGCTTGCGATGCATCAACTCAATTTACCACCACAAGGAGCAACAAGAATGGTAGGAAGTGAAGATATAGAGATGATTGGGGCTGCTTCAACATCTGCACCAAACCATGTCCCTTCTCCCAGAATGGAACACCCTTCGAGTGTTAGAGAACCGAGAGTTGCCTTGCCCGAGAAGTTTGATGGTACCAGATCCAAGTTTCGAGGATTCATCAATCAGGTCCAACTAGTAATTGAACTTCAACCCCAGAGCTATCCAACTCCAGGATCACAAGTTAGATTCATTAGTACACTTCTTTCAGGTTCAGCATTGTCATGGTTTTCATCTTTTCTTGAACGACGAGATCCAATATTGGATAATCTGGAGGCTTTTTTGGCGGAGTTTCGATCCATGTTTGGAGAACATGATGCAATTCGTGTTGCAACCAACAAGATCCGTATTTTGCGACAAGGCAATCGATCAGTAACATTATATGCTTCACAATTTCGACAACTTGCAACTGATATCAAGTGGGATGATGCCGCACTTGTGAGTCAATTTCTCTACGGATTACAATATGAGGTAAAGAAATTGATGCTTAATTTACCTGATCCTCAAACATTGAGTCAAGCAATTGACTTTGCTGTGAAGTGCGACAATCGATTTTTTGAATTTTGATCCGAGAGTCGCACAAGTGGGCCTCAACGTTACTACAATTCAATGGCAACACCGACGTCTCCTCAACACATACCTTCAGAAGTAGAGGATATGCAAATTGATGCGGTACGTTTCAAACCTCTTACTGAGCAAGAAAAGTCTCGTCGTCGACAAGAAGGATTGTGCTTATATTGTGGAGAACCTAAGCACACTGCTCAACATTGTCCAAAGAAGCGACGTAACTACAAAATGAGGAGTACGGCTGTCAAAGAAGACAGTATGTCGGAAAACGAGTACGTCCAGCTACAATAGGGACCGTGCGGCTGGAATCTTGTACAACTTCTAATGAAGGTCCTATCCTCTCCTCAGAACCATCTCCTTGTTTTATAATAGATGTGCGTTTAGGACCTAATAATTACAAAGCCTCTGCCTTGGTAGATTCAGGAGCCTCATCTTGTTTTTTAGATGAAGAATTTGCTAGATGTCATAGAATATCATTAATACAAAAAACTAAACCTGTACACGTAGAAGTCATAGATGGTCGTCCGTTGTCTTCTGGAGATGTAACTCACGAAACACTTCCTGTAGATGTAGTAATAAATAGTCATAGTAGTTGCGTAATTTTTAATATAATTAGATCTCCCTCTAATCCAGTAATTTTAGGCTTATCATGGTTAGAAAAGTATAATCCTCGAATAGATTGGATTTCTCGTAAACTTGATTTTCCTCGGAGCATTAGTAACAGTTCTATTAATCAAGTAAAAAACCATGAGTCTATGTCACGGACATACATATAATTACCTATATGAATAGATAAAAGTATGTAAAAGTAGGTTAATTGTGTAATATCTTCTAGAGAAGCTTCTTAGAAGCTTCATAGATGCTGCTTTGACTTTATAGGAGTCTATAGTTGACTTTTAGGTTAGAAACTTGGTCAACAAGTTAGCCATGTGCCACACATGTTAGAAGCTTAAAGAACAAGCTAACTACGTGGTCCATCCATAGAAAACTTGCCTTGCAAGCAAAGGCATGTGGCCTAGAAAGTCAACATATATTGGAGGTCTTATAGAACATCGCCACGTGGCTTCTAGTTAGATAGTATATATAGAGGCAAGAGTGAAGCCCTCTTCACTCTTGTCAACTCCTTTCTTGCTTCTAGTCTAGTTTCAAGGGTCTCTAGTTTTCTTGTATTTTGGCAATAGCCATTCCAGTTTCTTTCTTAATATACATATTTCTATTTTGTCCTATTTCTTTTTGAGAAAAGTCTCACTTACTCTTTAGCTTTCATCGAGTTCTTGTCCTTGACAGATTGACAAGAGTACACTTACAATATCAGAGCTTTGTCTTTTCTTGATTAAGAGTGGATTACCCCTTTTTCTTGATAAGACATAAGCGCATTAGAAGTTGCGGATTACCCTCTTTTAACATGATATTGTTCTTAGTATTTTCTTTGTTATCAATTCCTCTCTTCTATTTTGAGCGTTATTAGACATCTTCTCTTTTCTAAGTGCTACTATGGCAGAGCTTGTTGAAATGAAGAGTGCAATGGCACAGATGCAAGAACAATTGAGGGAGTTAATGCTTGTGATGCATCAACTCAATTTACCACCACAAGGAGCAACAAGAATGGTAGGAAGTGAAGATATAGAGATGATTGGGGCTGCTTCAACATCTGCACCAAACCATGTCCCTTCTCCCAGAATGGAACACCCTTCGAGTGTTAGAGAACCGAGAGTTGCCTTGCCCGAGAAGTTTGATGGTACCAGATCCAAGTTTCGAGGATTCATCAATCAGGTCCAACTAGTGATTGAACTTCAACCCCAGAGCTATCCAACTCCAGGGTCACAAGTAAGATTCATTGGTACACTTCTTTCAGGTTCAGCATTGTCATGGTTTTCATCTTTTCTTGAACGACGAGATCCAATATTGGATAATCTGGAGGCTTTTTTGGCGGAGTTTCGATCCATGTTTGGAGAACATGATGCAATTCG